ATTGATAAACGTTCTGTTAGTTTTAACATTGACGGTTTGTGCCAATAGTAACGTTTAATATATTTCTCACGTAACTCATTATGATATGTACATTGCAATATAAAATGATATTCGTCCACTATTGATAATTTATCACATAAAATACAGATTCGGTTTTCTCTTGCGATTTAACTATACCTGCCTATTTCAACATTCAGCATATGAGATGACAATCTAAACTTAGAAATAACATAGCGATAAGAATCTGGGATTGATTTGGATAAGTAATATTGTAATGTAAAATGAAATGGTAGATTTTTATATATTAAACAATTGGAGGATGACTCAAAACAAGCAAACATTTCTTGGAGAAATATATCTTTAAGTCTACATGTTATAATATTAATGCTTTTATGCACAGTTTGGCTAAGCGGATAATGTCATATATAACCAAAACCCAAAGAGTATAGTAGACTCTTTATTTCTTCAAGCCAATTAGGGCTAGTAATAACGTTTTCGTTCATATCCTCATATACACATTGTAAAATACAATTTTCACTTGTCAAAATTTTAAACCAATATTTGATGATTTGAATATAGTGTGTTATATATAACGGGAATCTACCTAACTCTGCATACATCATAAAATTCATTGTGCCTCTTTTTACATGTAATATATATTTTAGAAAATCAGTGTGAACCATTTCAATTTCCTTGGAAATTCTAAAACCCCATATTTCGCAACCATAATTTAGAACAGTTGAGACGTAGGAATGAAATACATTTAATTTAGCTTCAATATTTAGTGAATTTTTGTTACATATATTAAGTATATTAAACATGCACTTTCTCCCTTGAGATGAAATTATTGACTGAGCTTTAAGAAATTTACCATTATAAAATAAATTCGTCCCCAGATAATTGAAACTGTTCACCTCTGTAGGTTTACTATTATATAACCATGTACAATGTTTCGGGAGTTTGTTTCCCTTTCTAAATACAACTATTTTTGTTTTCTCAACATTCACCTCTATGGACCATTTACATGCATATCCGTACAAAGTGTTAAGATTTTCATGCAATCCATTAATAGTTTCTGAGTTGTGTCGTCTGCATACAATGTCAAGAATATTGCAAGTTTCTTGATGTATACTGGCTCTCCAGAGTTTGCAAAGAGCTCATTCTCAAGATCATTTATGTATAACTAGAATAAAAAGGGAGATAGAGGCTCACCTTGCATTAAACCGACGTCGTTTTGAAAAAATGCCGATAATTCTGAATTTTGACGAACACATGACGTTATGCCTCCATACATGGAAGAAATTATTTGATGCATTTTACCAGTAATTCCAGATTTAGCTAATTTGAATATTAGTTTTGGTCTTTGGATTAAATCAAATGCGCGGTGATAATCGATAAAGCAGCAGAATAGTTTTTTCCCTTGTCTCAGTGATCTATTAATCAAACCCTGTAAAGCAAAGATCGAGTCAATCGTCCCATAGCCAGGCTTAAATCCAACCTGGGCGTCTGAAATACACCCATATTTATCTGACCATACTAACAATCTATTATTCAAAATACATGTAAATATCTTAGACAAACAACTGACCAACGAAATACCTCGATAATTTTGTACATCGTTAATAGAACCTTTCTTATATACAGGAACAATGATAGCTTCAGACCATTCGTCCGGAAAGCACCCCTTTTCAAAATTAAAGTTACAATTTAACAATGTACATAAATATGGAATCATAAAATCACTATATTTTGAAAAATATTCATTGATCAAATTCCAGGAGATTTATTGTGTTTAAGGTTTTTCAAGGTTCGCGCTACTTCAGCTTGAGATATAGGCTTATCTAATTCGGGATATAAACATTGTGATGTGATATTACTGTCATTATTGAATTCTATTGTTGGTGTTGAGCTAAGGTATTTAAAATAATCATGAAATTGGGATGGTTGAAAAACTGCTTTGGGTTAGACTTACGAATATTGCTCAATCTATTTCCTTCTGATCTATTAAAAGCTCTTTTTACTCTACGCTGATATATCTTATATTTGCCCTTATACAATGCTAATTTTATTCTATTCTGGGGGGGTCCTTTGCCTATTGAAATGACTTAAGCTTAATTGATACCCTTTGAACAGATCTCTGCATTTCTCGTCGAACCAGGGTTTTATAACATTTACAGGTTTAGCAG